CTTACTCTTCTCAAATCGAGTTAAGAGTTGTCTGCTTGGTCTATTTACATAGCAGAGGTACTTTTGATTCTTTAACCACCTCTTATTATTTCTCCATCACATTTCGTTTCATTATCGTAACCCTTGAGACTCTCAGACTTTACAACTGAGGTTTATGGTTACACAACATCTGATTTGATGATCTTAGTTTCGTTTATCCCGTGCTAAGTGAAACCCAAAATACAACACCAATAACGAATTGACGGTGAACAATAAATTGTTCTAGTTTTCACCATAGTTTTAATGAATTCCCTAAGTTGGAATGTACCAAGAAAACTCGTTTTTCATTTTTGAGAGATCTTCATGAAATTGTCTAAATACCAAGACGTTTCTTCCCAAAAGATCCATTTTTTTTTGAGATTTCTATAATAATTACCAAGTCAATAAACATATTCCTACCCTAATTGTTTTAAAGGCCACATCGGTCTCACAAGTACTTCATCCAACTTGCGGTCTTATGTCAAGTCCTGAAATTTGTATTGAAGCAAAACCATCCGTTACGGCCTTATAATGAAATAATACCTTTCAATTCTTCTTAACAAGTATTTGATCGTATTTTCTTGGGAACCACACAAGCACTTTAAAGTCTCTCTTGACTTTGAAGAAAGAGATTCATGCCCAAAATCCATAGTTTCGTGTCTATCTAGACATCACTTAAATCACACTGATATTTGCTTTATTTCTTTTCTGTTGGCACACTCTTGCACGAAAATCTTTACAATTTTTCCCAAACTCTTGTTCAATTGCTAATAAGTTATTCTCAGACATATGGCTTCGGTTCTTTATGGTGGAGTCGATTTATTTAAAGTGAATAGGGTGAGTCAGCATGAATTTGAAACGATTCAAAATTTGAAAAGGAGATAAGGATGGAAAGGCGCGTGAATATGGAACGATTCCTAAACACATGCCTTGTGACGTATATCTGGGGAAACCAAGCTGTCAAATCGCGCTTTTCCAGGCGCCGTTTTAGGGGATCGTATCATTATCACAATTGATTCTTTCTCTCTCATGGAAATGATATAAAAGGTTTTCTCGCACCTCATGTACCTCTTTACCACTTCCAACCTTTCTTGAGACTACAACAGAAGATTTTCAACTGTTCTTCTTCTTCCTTTCTACAACAATGGCAAAATCATCATCAGTTCAAGAACAAACCGCTACCTCATCTCTCCTAACCATCAAACCTAATCAGAATCTTGTTATATTGAATCCATTCGTCTATGATTCGTACATGCTTCATGTGGTCAAATGTCTCAAGTATTCCCCATTGATGATTGCTCTCACACAGGTTGAATCTGTTCCCATGTTACTGCTCTCACAGGTCTATTCATTTGCTTCTTACGATAAACGCAAGGAACGGATCTTCTTTGACATCTTCAATCACAAGACCTCTATCTTAAAAGCTCGCTTCTGTTCTCTACTAAAGCTTGCTTCAGATGCATTTGTCATCTCTTCTGATTTCATCATCACTACTCAGCTCTTCACCATGTTCTATGACATGGGGTACACTGATGTCCTTACCATGGTGACAAATCATTCTGAAATATGGCTCTCTTATTTGGGCTCAGCTGGTGCAAAGCTTCAATTCGCTGTCCAAACACTCTGAAATTTCGTGTGGACGCTTCTGGATGATTGTTACTCGAAGAGCCATTGAGCATTTTCAGATTCCCATCATGGCGGATGCGTTGCACTCTTCGATCGCCATTTTCCACACCATAAAGATTATCGTGTCTGATCCCATGAAGTTCATGTTCATCAGTTCAATTCCTGAATCGATGTCCGGGTGTGTCTCAAGCGAAACCAATGTCATGGCTGGTTACAAAAAGCTGACACCTTCAGGACCAAGGCAACTCAATCCATAAATGCAAAGTGCCTTGGAGGTTGTTGATAAACCAACCAAGAGGGGAAAGAAAATAGAGCAGAAGAAGAAGGAAGCCGAAGGTCAATCCTCCCAGGCAGCCTCGCCTAAAAAGCGAAAGGCAGACAAAGAACCTTCTTATGCCTACAAGAATCGAAAGATCAAAAGGATGGCTAAGAAACCGAAAGCTGACTCATCTAGTGATTCGGATTATGTTCCGTCTGATCACGATCATCATCAAGGCGAAGATGTTCATCAAGAAGGCTCCCCGAGAGGCAATACGCCTCCTCAGTCCCCATTTCCTGATGTACATGTAACTTAATCTGCTCCCATTCCTCTTCAATCCCCTCCTCGTTCTACTGTGCCTGCTTCGATTGCACCACTTCCACCATCAGTTGTTTCTCAACCTACTTCAACTACATCAACTACTTCAAATGCTCCTATTCCATCTCCTGTCATCACACAAGCAACAACCACCACTACTATAACCGAACCTCTGGTTGCTGTCAAAGTATCTGATACGGGGGCGACTACAGAAGGTCTTGAAATCCTTGTTACTTTAAAACCTTTATCCCCACCTTCCTCAACCGAATCTGATACAGTTCTTGGCGGAACCGAAATGGAGTTTGACTCTATTTATTACAGCCCATATCGTGTTCTCAACGATGATGAAGAAGATGCTCCCATCACCAAGCAACACCTAAAGGATCTCAATGAGAAGCTTGATAGGTTGCTCGCTTCCTCTTCCACTTCCTCAACCTCTGCTTATTCTGATGCTGCTGTTAAAGCCCTAACTGAAACTTTAATTCAAAAGCATGATGAGTCAATCTAGACGATAACCAGGGCTGTGGATGCCTCTACTTTATCTTGCAAGAATGCATCTGCAAAAGCAAAAGTGGCCAAAGTGATTGACGATGCCAATATTTTTCTTGATTCTCTTAAGGGAGCTGCTGAGTCCAATGCCAACAATGTCAATTCTGCTATTGACTCTCTTTCCAACCACGACACCTCCTTGCCTTGGGGTGTTTAAGATTGTTTTTTAAACTAAAAAGTCTTTTTTAGAAAAGGATTTTTTGATTTATGTTTTTTTAAAAGAAACTTTTAAAATGTGTTTGTATGAACTTTTGAGGGTGTAAAAAAAAAAACAAAAGGTTACTAAAAGTTACAAATATATGATTTTTTAAATATCTTTTTTTTTGTTGTTTTCAAAAAGTTAACCTAAAAAAACCAAAAGTTATTAAAAATCACAACTTTGTGATTTTTTAAAGGAATAATGACTTAGGAGGGTAACTACCTCTTATCCGTGTTCACATATTGACAACTTCTTCTTTTTTGTACACAATAAAACAACTAACTTGTTTTAACTGTTTAAATTATACCAATATTACTGGTTAACACATGTTTTAACCGGTAACTCAAAGGGAAAATGACTACGGAGAGTAACTACCTCTTATCCGTGTTCACATATTGACAACTTCTTATTTTTTGTACATAAGAAAGAAACTAACTTGTTTTAACTGTGTAACATCCCAAAAATCATGACTAAAAATTTTGTTTTTAATTTAATACTAAAACCATAATTGTCAAACCATTAATTTAATACTCCAGCATCGGGCCTCGCCCGACATCAAGCCCCGCCTGGCATCGAGCCCCGCTCGGTATACATATCTGTCTCTCTTAGGCCCCGCATGTCTCCGGTCCCCACCCGATAAACACATACAATCATCTAATATGCTAACACATAAAGAAACATACTCTACTGTATCCATGTCCTAAGAAACATACTCTGCTAATAATGAGATACAGAACTTCGTCCGTACTCAGCTAGTTCCAGCCAGGGCTTCAGCAGTGCAAGGTGAGTCTCCTCATTGTGTGAATGGGTCTAAGGCCACAATGCCAGCCCATGTAGTCTATAAGTAGGAAGACTCGGGGGTTAGCCATAGGCATTGTTTGCTAGTATGTTATTCCAGACGAAGGTCTGATGTCGGACGGGTGCCTGAGGAATGTTTTCATGTTAGATTATACTTGTTGTATGTGTGATACTTGTATGTGCCTGGGAAAGAGGTGAGTGTGGGCGAGCTCCCGTATCTCATCACTAGCTGAGTACGAACGATGTTTTGTATCTCATTATTACCACAGTATGTTTCTCAGGACAGAGATACAGTAGAGTATGTTTCTTTATGTGTTGACATGTTATAGGATTGTATGTGTTTAGTGGGCGGGCCCCGGAGACAGGCGGGCCCTAAGAGAGACATATCTGTATACCGAACAGGGCTCGATGCCAGGCGGGGCCTGATGCCAGAGTATTAAATTAATGGTTTGACAATTATGGTTTTAGTATTAAATTAAAAAGAAATTTTTTGGTCATGATTTTTGGGATGTTACACAGTTAAAACAAGTTAGTTGCTTTCTTATGTACAAAAAATAAGAAGTTGCCAATATGTGAACACGGATAAGATGTAGTTACCTTCCTAAGTCATTTTCCCTTTGAGTTACCGGTTAAAACATATATTAGCTGGTAATATTGGTGTAATTTAAACAGTTAAAATAAATTAGTTGCTTTATTATGTAAAAAAAGAAGAAGTTGCTAATATGTGAACACGGATAATAAGTAGTTACCCTTTAAGTCAATTTCCCTTTTTTAAACACCTTTTTTTTCTCCTTCACATTTAGTTAATCTAAACCTTTTTATCAAACAAATTTTTAAACTTTTTGAATTTTAAAAAGAACCAAAAATCCAGAAAATCTCACTCTCTTAATTCTTAAAAAAAATGCTGATTTTTTTAATCATATTTCGGTCACTTTCTCAGAATTTCCTATACAAATTCATTCCCGGATCGCAAAATCGCTGGGACGACCTGCCTTTGAAACATCCGACTGTATCATCAAATTACTTGATTCGTCAGATCCATTTCATTCCAACAATCACCCGGTCACTTTCACATCACTTTGGAAGCAGATCTAGCAAAGTTTCCTTTTTAATGTTCACAATAATCAAATCCATCTGTCTGAGTAAACTTTGTTAAGTGTTCAATCAATCAACTATGCTGCATTCTATATCTCTTTCTAACTTGTAATTCAAGTGTATTTAGAGAGAAAGCGAATGAGTCAGTTGTTTGAGTACTTCGTGGTGTGTGGAATTGGACCGGAGATTCGTACTCTGGATGGTGAAAAAGGGTTTCACGGAACAGGGGTTTTCTATTTAGCTTCTCTCCTTGATCAGTATCCTCCTCCTACTCACACGCTCTATCCTCCTCCTCCTCCCCAACTTCCCACCGTAAGTTTCCTGATTCCAATGCCATTTGATGTCATTATTCTTATGTAATAGCTTGTGCTTTCTGTTATTGCTTTACGATTTGACTCTCCTTTCAGAAGTTGAACCTAGTCTTTCTAAAATTGAAACTGATGTGCTTTAGGCTACAGTTTAAACTCCAGCAGCAAGATGGTCATAATTTCAGTAGTTATTATACGTTTCTAATGTAGTCAGCGATTTTACCTTGAAAGCTACTTAAGTTACATATCAATTTTGAAGTTGAAATTGAACAAATTTGCATCGCAAAGTCAAAAGCTGCAACTCATCCTTTCCCTTTTGGAATGAGTAGTAATGTGCATCTTCTGATATATGAACCGTGATTGTGGCAAGCTCTGTTCAATTTTGGGGGTTTTTTGGCCGTGAGTTAAAATGATTATTACATTTTCAAGTCGGAGCTATCAGTGTCAAAACCTATTTATGATTATAATTTTTCTGAAGTGTCAAAGTAATCAAAAATATAAGAAAACTGATTATCAATTCAGGATAAATGTATGTTTTCAAATTATCATCACCTTCTGATTCCTCAAGTCACAGTAATCACCTTGAAAAAGCATGTCCAACAATTAAGGATGCGTTTAGTTACGGAAAAACAATTTTCATTTTCCGTGTTTTGTTTTCCTTTTTCGATTTTCGTTTTCCGTTTTCATTTTTCATTGAAAAATTTAGAAAACGCGTTTAGTTAAACTTATTCATTTTTCATTTTCAGTTTTAGAAAATTAGAGAACGTGTTTAAATGTGTATTTTTCTATCGGTTTTCATTTTTAGAAAACGGTAGCGGTGGTAGGGTGTGGGTGGGGGCGGTGACGGTAGCGGGTCGGCGACGGTGGTGGTGATGACTGGAGATGGTGGTGGCGGCGGCAATTATGTCAATGGTGGTGATGGCGGCGGCAGCGGTGGTGGTGGTGCTAGTGACGGGTTAGTGGTGGTGGTGGTGGTGATGGTAGGTCGGTGATTGTGGTGGTGGTGTTGGGTGGGTGTGGGTGCGAGTGTGTGTGTATGTGTGTGTTTGTGGGGGTAGGTGTGGGTTTGTGTGTGTGGGTGTGTGTGTGTGGGTGTGTGTTTGTGGGGGTGTGGATGGGTATGTGTGGGGGTGTGGATGGGTATGTGTGTGAGTGTGTTTGTGTGTGGGTATGTATGTGTGTGTTTGTGGGTTGGTGTATGTGTGTGTGTGTGTGTGTTTGTGTGCTTGTGGGTGCGTTGGTGGGTATGTATGTGTGTGTGTGTTTGTGGGTTGGTGTGTGTGTGGGTGGGTATGTATGTGTGTGTGTGTGGGTGGGGGGTGTTAAGGTGGGGGTAGCTAGAGGTGGATGGGGTGAGAGTGGGTGTATGTTTATATTTTAGAAAAATTTTGGAATTAGAAAAATGTGGAAAACAATGATTACCAGTTTTCCAAAAATTTTCAACTTCTTTGTAATTTTAGAAAACGGAAAATTTTCATTTTCCGTGAAAGATTTAGAAACATAGACGAATCAAACACGTTTTCAAAATTTTCATTTTTCTTGGAAATTTTTTCCGGAAAACTGCCCATTTTTCCGCAACTAAAAACACCCTAAGTTTATTCGAGACATACATAGGATAGTTCTTGGTAATGTGGTTTGTATGAGATTGTGGTTAAGTCAGAGTAAATGAAACACAAGAGTGGTAGATGAAAGCTTGAATTATGTTTTTCATGGTTCACAATTTTATTGAAGTGATAGAATTAGTAAGTGAATATGGTGAAAATAGGTGTTCCATTGTGAATTTTGAATTGGCCCCTTGTGGGCACTGTAGTGATTTACATACAAATCATGTCACATGATGATGCTCTTGGGTGTAGTGATAATTTACTTCACTAGTCTTATTCATGTTATTTTCCGGTCTTAATAATATTCACGGTTTATTTGTAATGCAGTGTGTTCTACCGGCTGGTGTGGAATTCTACACAACTGGGTTTGATTCAAGCAATCCGTTATCTTTCCCACGCAGTTATCCTATTGTTTTAACTGGTATGTAACCATTGAGTAAATGTCGAGGGTTTTTATTTTGTTATTTTTGATTACTATTTGTTTAGCACATACCAAATCCAGATGGTTGTTCCACTTCCACGATAAACATGGGGTACCAACTAGTGCAAAGATTTCCCTAAGGGGGAATTGAATTTTAGTGAGGTTTTTGGTTATGGTAGAAGAATTTAGAAATTTATAGTGGTTTGTTGTAATCATTAGGAACCAAGAGGTCTATACTCTATAAGTAGTAATATAGCTTATCATGAAGGAGATATTGATATGATGAATTCACAAACAAAAAACTAATAATATGATAAATGCTTCCTTTATGGATGGGGATGGTAGGACAAAAAAGGCGAAATTTGTTAATTGACAAAATACTAGATGACCCCTTGAAATTAAATTAAGGTCAACTAAAAAAGTACAAAAGTGCAAGTCAAGGTATGTTATGTTGACAGGGAAGTTGAACATGTGATCAGTGAAGGGCAATTCTTATATTTTTTTAGGGGTTGGGTCAGTACGATTATGGTGCATGATGTGGTAAGAAAAATTCTGATAGTCCTTAATATGTAATTTTGTAGATTATTTGTTTGAAGTTATAGTTTGTTTTATAATTATGCGGATGGAGACACTTAATGGCATGTTAGAGGCAGTATTATAGATTTTTTTTTTTGGAACGGTAAATCTACTCTACTTCTAAGTCCACCTATGACCTTGACGGGACTTGAATCCTCAACCTCAAGGAGGGATACCGCTGGGCTATAATTTTAGAAGCCCTTTGGTTTTGGTTTGAATTTTAGATTTTTAGTGAATTAGTTTTTATTGTGTAATTATGCAATGAGTCGAAGACATAGACTGATAGACATGAGTGTTTTATTATTGTGTTGGTTTGGTGCAGAGGGTGATGGTTCTAAAATTTATGTGAGTTGCATTGCTTTTCGGGATCCTGTTTGTGAGGATATTGCAGAAGCTTATCGCATTCCTACAAATTCATTTGCTGATAAATGTATCTGTCTAGTTTCACGCGCTCCCAGTTTTCACATCCTTCGGGAAGTACTAGAGAAAATACATCAACTTTGCTTTTCCTCTAACGGAAGCAGGTAACAGTATAATATTATTATGCCTGATACGAATACGATCAAAGTGTATGTGGATAATCATAATACCTGTCTGTATGCACATATCTGTTCTCGTTCTCGTTCTCGTTCTCGTGTGTTGATGCATCATTCTTCTATGTTAGCGTGCAAATCCATCATTAAGAAAAGCTTCTTCAGTCCTGTCCTGGCTTGTGTAACAAACACAGGCGGTTATTTTGATTATATCATCAATTTCCAATCTTCTAAACATGTACTTCTTTCTTGAACATAATGAATTATCATTTAGACATCTCATTCTCATCTCTTTAGAGTTTTAGTAAACAAGTTGTTGCATGTATATATATTCCTTTAGGGGAGAAATAGCAATGTACTTTCCAAATAATTTTTCTATTGCTTTCAAAAGTAGAATAGTAATTTGAAGATACAATATAGGGTTTGTTTTAGGACATGGAAAATGTGTGTGTTATATATATTGGATTGGGTTGGATTTTGCAGCAAGCCATTATGGGATGTTATCTCGTATACAGTGTCCAACGTACCTTTGCCTACTCCTGGAAAGGGACGTGTTCTCTTTGCCATTGAGAATAGCCTGCTTTCCGTTGACTTTCCGCCCAAGGATGGCCTTCCTCACGCTGATGTAAGTGCATGAATTTTCCCATATGGAAAAACTCGAATATGAAACCCTTACCTGCCACGTGTTTGCTTGTTGGGAATGGACTGGAATTCCAAATGTGTTTATATATATACATATATATATATATATATATTATGTATGTCTATGGTTTTAACAAAAAACGGAATGATAGATTCTGATATGAAGGATTCCTATGGATTTAAACCAAACACAAACACAAATACAAATACAAAGACACAGAAGCATGAATTCCAATTCTGTTAGAATTCCTTTCCTTTTGGGTGCTGATAATTATTGCCCATTTACTTGAGCAGATATCCTTTCAACCGCTGGTGCAGTGCCTGGATGTGGATAACTTCATCAAACTGTTTACAGCTGTATTAATCGAGAGAAGGGTTTTGCTTCGATCAGACAAGTAGGTCTTTCTTTCATTTAAGATCCAACTTCTGACCTTTTTTTTGGACTATTTTTGCTTTTAGATCTAAAGTTGCCATCCATCAAATTAAGTTCCATTCCATTCCATTCTGGCATGGCATTTTAGTTGCAGATGAGTACGAACGGAATTGAATTATGATGGAATCCGAATATCCCACTAGTAGTAGTGAAGGACTTTTCGTTCAATAAACACGGAATTCAAATGCCCTCCCCAAACCCCATCATTTTATAACTAACAGTCTTCTCTTCGATAAAAAACATATTTTAAATATTTTTACAAGTATTTGAAGAAGCTCAAATATTTTTACAAGTTTTTTGACAATAATTTGTATGTTTATTGTGTGTTTTGTTGAATAATCAATTATATTTAATTCTAAAATAGTTTAAACAAGAAATTAACAAAAGGGTAATTGAAGTATGTATTTCTTTAAAAACAAAGAATAATTTATAAAAGATCAATAAAGGGGAATTTTACCATTTATCCTTGGTTACATTCCGAATCTTTTGATGGATTTATAAACCAACAAATATATACAAATTTCCATTCCATTTCCTACAAATGCTAATAATCCCTTCCAAAACGTTATGTGAACCATAAGGTTGGAGAGAAGGTATCACACATTTGTAGGGTATTAGTTAAAAGATGATATTACACAATGATGGGTGAAGAAATGTAAAAGTTTGAGTATATATGCAATAATTGCAACTATGTTTAAGTCCCCATGGTGTTTTCTGCTGTTTCTTTTTATCTTAATGGACTTAATCCATTAACCTCTACATATCAGTCGTCAGTGTTTCTGTGTCCTTTTGACTTCACTTGATGCCATAAATTAAAAACCACTTAATGGAGAAAGTCAGGGAAAGGACTACACCTAAACTCAGGAGCCTTGCTCTGTCTTGCACAAGATTTTATTTCAGTGCATGCATTTTAGCAAGGGTAATCTCTTTACCCTAAAAAGGAATCCCAAATCCTAAAACCTAAACTCGTTATCCCAGAAAGTTGTAATTTTTTACAAATTTGCCCTCGTGTATTCTTTCCTTTTATCTTCTCGAATATCTTTTCAACATTATTTATCTAGACAACAGAAAAAAAGAAACAATGAAGGCCTTAATCAAGTAAAAGAGAAGTTTTATGATTGTGAATTATTTATTTGTTTTATGCAGATACTCTCTACTAACGCTTGCTTCCGAAGCAATATGCCATTTGATCTATCCTTTCCGGTGGCAGGTAAACTTTTTTGCAGGCTTTATCTATCTCAACTTGTCTTGTCTGTGTGACTTATCCTAACTTTTTCTGGGAGGCTGCACATAAAGTTTTAACATGGGAAAAAAAATAAAAAAAAATTTGTAGACTGTAACCTGGGCGGGTCTTTCAAGCTTTTAAAAAGATATCATAGGCATACTAACCAACTAAAATAGGGAGGGATAAACGCAAGAAATAGCAAATCTAATTTCATATGTCATAGCATCCTACATTCATTTCTTTCTATTACCACATTCTACTTTCGAAAATTTTCTTATTATCCTACTTTGAATTTGCTTAATATATGCAAATCCTGACATTGTATTTTCTGTGAAAATCCTACCGAATTAATGGATGGATCTTCCAAAGCACAAATTAGGTTGTGCTAATTAATGGAAGCACGTTGCTAACTATGATAGAATTTTGAATTAAATGGATTTATTATAGCTTTAACAAACCCAAACCACCACTAAAGGAATTTTCTGAACCAAGTAACATTACATGATATGACTGGGGCTGCATTATTTAAAAATAGTGTGATGTTTGATTGGATTGGTATCTGATATGAATATGATTGTTTGTGTGGTGAATCAGCATGTCTACATTCCGTTGCTATTTTTCAGTGGAGTTGACTATATTGATGCTCCTACACCATATATGATGGGGCTTCATTCAGGTGTTGATACTACTGGTCTCTCAATGGATGGTGTAAGTTATTTTTTTTTGCCCTTAAACCACTGTTACTGCTCACTGCTTGTGTTAGTTTCTTAGGCCAATACAAAACTCCTTTCATTTCTGCCACGTGTCATGTCATCCTTTGCAATTATTTTGTACATCAATGCATTTATTTACGCACACCTTCTAAAAGCCATACCAACAACTTAATAATCCCTTTTTAATAATTAATTAATAATGTTAATACTTGTCCAAATAATAACATTACTTATTTAATTAATAAAATATTTCAGACATTATATTACAAAATACATTGTATTTTAACTACTAATAGTAATTATTACCTTTACATCAACCAAACGTTTAGCTTCTTTTAGTATGCAAATATATTAACATCAACCAAACGTTTAGCTTCTTTTAGTAATTATAATAAGTTAAGCTTCTTTTAGTATGCAAATATATTTATAGAATAATAAATTAAATTTAATGACTCAATCGACATAAATAATGTTAGAACTTAGAATTTAATGTAATAATATTAAAAGAATGGGGTCCATACACAATACCCATACCCATTGCGGAGCTGGCATTGCTAATAGACTTCCATTTGTTAAAAGTGGGTTTGCATGGATGCCCTTATTGGTTATTTTTTTTGCATAATAGTAAAACTTTGTCTTCTCCTGCATTTTGGATAGCTGTACTGTATGTATGTATTAAGGGTGGAACTATTCTTTTATTTAGCTGGTCAGGAAGAAAATCTTTTGCACTTTTAGGGGTAGAGCAAAACCTATAAATTAAAAATGACTATGCTATGTCAAGCAATTAAAATCCCAGTATTAGACTGAAATCTAATAGAATTGGAGATTTGTTTTTATTAAATATAATGAATAATGACAATTTTACATGAGAATAGTAGGGAAATATGTTGAGTTTTTATTGGTAAGCAAGCTATGTATAAATATTTTTATTTTCTTGAAATTTGCTTGGACCGTCGGCCCTTTGCTGTAATCCTTTTTTTGGAATAATTCAGTTATAGTGCACTTGAATCTACTTTACTTATATATGTATATGTATATCATTTGATAGTTGACAATTAGAGGATTTGGGTTGGTGGGTGTATATTTTTGTAGGTAGTGGTTGTTGATCTTGAACATAATTGCATCATGAGCTCAGAGGAGATTCCTCCCATACCGGAGCCAGAAATGAGTTGTTTACGGAGTGAGATCTTGAAGTTATTGCATCCGAATGTTGTTTGGATAGACTCGATGAAGGCTGATCTTGAGTCATATGAGCAATATTCAAGATTTAACACCAAGGCTTGGTCCCCCGACCATGATGTGCAACTCAGGTAATACTCAAACAGTTACTAAATCCATTTTCCATCTAAAACTATTTTTAATATTACTACGTACTACTTGTACTTCTTAAAAAATCTACTCATTTCTTGTAATTGAAACTATAATGCCTTTAAATAATAAGATAAAAAAAAATTAACTATAATTGGATATATCTTTGCCTTGATTAGAAAAAAGATTGAACATACAATGTTGTGATGAAAGATAAAATGTAAGTATTTTAATTAATTGAACTGCATTTTGATTTGATCTTTTGAATACTTTCCTTTATTCTTCAGGATTATTTTCCTTAAGTTTTTTGCTTCAATCTTGGGAGGCTACCGTAACTTCATAGTAAGGAGGAATAAACCAACCCTGGCCTGTTATAATTCTTTCTAACCTCCTGCATTGCATATGGCATATGCTACTATTATAGATCCTCTCATATTTCATTTTCCAGGAAAATACTGCAAATCAAGTGTTCAACACTCAAGCTTTTCTGAAGAAGCGTTCCCGGGCAACTCACCAACCAATAGATGAGATGGTAATGGCCTATGGCCTATGGGTTTAACATATGCTTATTAGAACCTCCATACATTCTGATTCTGCATACTTACATGATGAATTGTTTTTAATTAGCTTAACTGCAGAAAATAGCAACATACTAAAATTGATTTGTTTCTTATGGTATCCTACTTTCATTTGTTATTCTACTTTAAAAAATATACCCAATACTAGCCATCCAAATACAAACCAATTTTAACTGCCATACAATAATATGCTATGGTTGATTCGGTAGAAATTTCAAAAATAAGAAAAATGCTGAAAGTACAATGCTATAATTGTTTTTAAATAACACTGCCTTGATATAATTAGATTGGAAGTACAATGATGTAGTCTAACAAAACGAAATAAAAGTAACTAACAAATAAATGAAAGTCTGCTGCAGCTGCATTTTTCCTTTTTATATATATCCATACATTCCTGTTATCGAGTCTAATTAGAATAGGTTGTTGTTTAAGTTAATACTTAACAGAACTTTCATACATTCTGCATAACTGTATTAGCAATCATATATAATTGGGTTAAATGCAGAAAAGTAGCAATATACTTTGATTGATTTGTTAATTATAGGATCCTACTTTCATTTTTTTTTTCTTATTATAACAATGTACTTTGGAAAATCTATGAAATCATAGAATTAGTATCCAAATAAATACAAAACAGTTCTAACTTGTATAATTGGGCCGGTTTTTTAAAGACAAAAAATTTTAAGTACAATGCTGTAATGAAAGTAGGATGCTCTAATAAGCAAATAAACAAAGTACATTGCTATTTCTTGCATTTAGCCATTTATAACATGCTTTTCCTTTTTATATTCATCTATACAATCCTGGTATTGGGTGTAATTTTTTTGAACTATTGCACAGGTAACTCAGTTTCTAGAGTCTCAAGGATTCTTGGATTATTTGGAAAGAGGTTTAGGTTCTGGTGAAAACAGTAGTAATCTTGTTGATAAGTTACAAGATGCAATTGGAAGAGGTCAAAATCCACTCTCTATATTGCCCTCAGCCTCAGCAGAGCCTGAGATTATAACTATTTCTGACCCGGGTTTAGGAATATCAGGTACTTTTTCATGTTACTTTATCAAATGGCATGTGAAGGAATCAATCATAATCCGACACGCATTAGCTTGACTGAAAATGGAATGGTGTTGAGTAATTTTTATAATTATATTTATATTTTTTAATGTAAATGTGTATAGTTGAAATTTTTTAATATTTAATTTTAATTATATAATAATAATAAGGGTATTTTGGTCCTCTAATAAAAAAGGGTGAATTGCAATTCTGAATGACGAAATTCATGGAACAAGAATGTTTGAAAGATTCCCAATAGAATTAAATTATGTCCATTTGGCGACCAAACACACTATGGAATGGAATATTGAATTCCGATTCCATTATCTGATGATTCCATTATTCTTTGCGAACCTTTTAGGTTTTGTGTTTATAAATATGTTGTACCCTTGGCTCCCAAAACCAACCACCACCAACAGGTTGTGTGTCTGTCTCCTATGCTTTAAGGTGTTGATCGGTAACCCCCAATCCATATGGATGATATATCTGGTCAAAGTCCCTCAACAAGTGACATAGTGCTCAAACAGACATTAAGGGGTGTTTGGGATTTTGCTTATTTAAAACAACTTATGTTTTTCTATACAAGTGCTTAATAGCTTATGAGGTACCAAAACGGAGTTTAAGAAAAAGTGTTTGGATTAGCTTAAAATGAAATAAGTTGATAATAAGTTGGTTTTTAGTGTTCGTCAAATTCTTCTTATACATGTAAAATGACTAAAAACATATTATTTGCTTATTTAACTTTATATATAACAATCTATTTGTTATCATTTATATCTATTATATGATTTTAAACCAATAACATTAAAGAAAGTATCTTTTACAAAAAAACTATATCAAAAACATTAAATAATATGTTTTACAAAAAATATATATCAATAATGTTTAAATTTAGTAAAAGTGAAAACATGAAATATGATATATTTCACATTTGACTTTAAGCGTATCATATGATTGAAATCACTCGACGCTCAACATTTATTTAGATATGAAGAAAAAAAATGGTTACATAAAAGAAATTTAGGTAAGGAAGAAAAGCTGTGATACATAAATGTTTTTAAGGATAAAAGAGTAAATCTAATAAGGAGTTTCAAATACGTAAGGGATAAGCAGTTTTCAGCTTTTTGTATCCAAACACTTAAAAATGCATGCATGCATGCTTATTTATTACTGGTGGGGTGGCGATGATAAGTTAATAAGCATGCTCACCTTGTGGCTGGGATTGGAGGAAATTGGTGATGTTTGTTTTCTGTTTCACCCCACCTCAAACTTATAATAATAAACTAGCAACTTAAAATATTTGTGGTCTGGTGTCAACCAGCAATGTTGGTTGATTTGTTTTTGTTTTTCAATTGATTTTTTAAGCTTGCTGATAAACTTTCAGGATCTGGTGCTAGATATACTTATGATAGGTTCCCTTCCAACTATAGATCACAAGACCAGGAGGAGAAAAGAAAGCAGATACTAGCTGCAGCTAGTGGAGCTCTTGAATATGCCGCAAAGCATACTCCTAGGTCAATATTTCCATTTATTACTTTCGATTCTTTCTATACTTTTTCGTCTTTGAAATTATACCATTATACTTGCTGCTATCTTTTTCTTATTACATGGAAAAATCTATCCATTTATAGCAGTGAAAATGCTATACTTTCTAAAGTGCTTAAATATAATAAAAAAAATATACTATATGAATACTTAGGATAAAAACGTAAAAGATTTGTAAACTAATTTGATTTAATGGTAACCTAGAAACCTGCTATTACAGGTAATAAGGGTAAAAATAAAAACTTGGCAACTTTTGGACATTAACAAACAAAAAAATGTCACAGTAACAAAACCCTAAAAAATATCCATAAAAGTACATACCTTGCATTTAACCCAAATTTGTTGTTCAAGTATAATTCAGCCAAGTCTGTTGCTAAGTTCTGATATATTGTTTTATGCCAGCTCACCTTCGGTGTACGCGGATGGAGACTCCAAAGGAGAAAGTCTAAGTCCTAGAGAGAGAGCTGTGAGTTCTCTTAAATCTTAATCACAACTCATCTCATCTCATCTATCTGCTGGTTTTGTGATTCTAAATATTTTGCAACTTGCAGGCTGAACGGGAGCGCATGGTCTTGGATATAAAAGTGAAATTGCAGGTCAGGAAAGGGTCTTTTTGTAATTTTATCCTTTTGGGATAATTGTTCATGGAAATATCATTTTGATATCCTCCATACTTTTACCCTTTTTGTGAATGTGTGCCAGCCTGTTGTATTGTGTAGACACACAAACACAATGGGGTGGGGTGGGGTAGGGTGGGGGGGGGGGGAGGGGAGGAAAGTGCTACAAGTAGTCAATTTGTATTTTGTTTGTTACCATCTCAGTTGTATATGTATGAATCTTGTTTAATTCTTTCTCCCCAATGCTTTTTGTTATTCTGAATGGCCAAACACAGGGTCTATGGCTACGTCTTCTGAAATTGGGAGCCACTGATGATCCTTTGTCATCTTTTGAATACGGAACAATCCTAGGTACGTTGTTGCTATTTTTATATGGCTTTTATTTTGGAATAACAATCTACTTTTTAAAATCATCCTACTTACAAAAATTCACCCAATTATATTTATATTTATACCGAACCAGTTTAAAAGGTTAGCCATTGCTTTAATTGGCTGGATTTTTCAAAGTACAATGCTGAATGCCCTAATAAGAACTAATTTGAAAGTACAATGCTATAATAAGTAAATTAAACTACAATGCTATAATAATATATTTTTGGAAGTGCATTGCTATTTTATGCATTTACCCTTTTTGTTTTGGGCCAAATGCGAGATTAGCAATGCACTTTCAATTATTTTTGTATTATAGCATCATTTTATATTAAAATATTCTGCTTTGAAAAATCTAACCAGTTATAGCAATGTACTTCCAATTTTTTTAGTTGCTTTGTATTTGAATGGCATTGCTATAACTGGGTGGATTTTTCAAAGTAGAATGCTGTAATAGGAAGAAATGAAACTACATTGCTATTTCTTTCATATTAACCCTTCTATTTATAAGGATCTTAGCTAATTGGTTTTTGACTTCTGCACATATAATCTTTTGTAGCTTTGATAGAAATTGATGCTGAGGGGATTGGTGGTAGTGGATTTGTTGAATGTATAAGGGAACATATTCACTCGGTATGCATACTTTGAACCCTGATTGTATTGAACTTTGTTGTCGTGATTTTAATCTTTGTGGTTTCAGGGTTGGAAAGGTCACTTGACTGAAGAGCAGTTCACCGCAGTGAAAGAACTGGTATGTTATGTTTATGGTCTATGCTATTTCTATTCCTTGGTTGAGAATTATTTTATTTTTTTTCAAAGAGAAAACATTTATTTGGTTGGTAATCCCATGCGAATAGTTGAGATTATTTTATTCAAAGGGCTAAATGCAATAATAGCAACAAGCTTCCATTTAATTGTTTATTTTATAGCATCGTACTGCTATTTCATTATATTTCAGCAGTGTACTTTCATTTTTTTTTTGGTTATTAAGGTATTAGCGTTGTATTCTCATCAGGACATTTGAAAAATCCACCCATTCGTAGGTAGTTATGATAGTTGCTTTGTAATTGGAGAAACCGCAAGTAAATAGATAAATGGGAGTAGGGTGCTCTTTTTTACTTATTTAAGAGTCAACACTATAGACATATTTTGATGGATGTGCTTTGCAATGTTATTAAAATTCACCATTGCTTGTGTTGGAAGAATGGCTTTATTTGTGCAATAGCTGTTTGTAGAAGAAGTGCTGTGTGGATAATTGAGGTTGAAAATAATAGCACTCTTCTCTTGGGGAAGTGGATTAAAAAAGCATAATGGGGAAAGATGTTTGCATTTTTATTTAGCTTTACAGTTATAAAGTTTGTGATTTTGTATTTTCTTTTTATGCAACACAGCTAAAAACGGCAATTACTCGTGCTACATCGAGGAATGATATAGCAACCATTAGAGATGCCCTTGAAGTTTCAGCTGAAATGTACAAGAAAGACAGGAATAATGTTGCAGATTATGTTCAACGCCATCTTCGTTCCCTTTCCATATGGGAGGAGTTACGGTATGTTTTTACTTAACTTCATTTATCTGTTTTCTGTTTCTTTCCCTCCTCCCCTTAACTTTTTTCAAGATAAATCATGTTTCAGAAAAAATAATTGCAAATGGAAGGAAATAAACAATAAATTTGTCAAAAGTTACGACTTAAGGGAGAAAGCCTTAGGGTGCGTTTAGTTGCGGAAAAATTGGCCGTTTTCCTGAAAAATTTTCTAAGAAAAATGAGAATTTTTAAAACGCGTTTAGTTCGTCTATTTTTCTAAATTTTTCACGGAAAATGAAAATTTTCCGTTTTCTAAAATTACAATGAAGTTGGAAAATTTTGGAAAACTGATAATCATTGTTTTCCATATTTTTCTAATTCCAAATTTTTTTTATAAACACACACCCACTTCACCTCATCCACTTCTACCTACCCCCACCTTAACACCCCCCACCCACACACACACATACATACCCACCCCCACACACACACCTACAGACACACACACACACACACACCAACCCACAAACACACACACATACATACCCACTCACACACACACACACACACCAACCCACACACACATACATACCCACCCACGCACACACCCACCCGCACACACACACACACACCAACCCACACACACACATACCTATCCACACACACACACCCACAAACACACACACACATACACACACACTCACCAACATACACACGCACACACCAACCCACACACACACACACACACCCACCCACATACATACCCATCCACCCACACACCCACCCACAAACACACACACACATACACATACATACACACCCACACACACACACACCCACCCACAAACACACACACACACACACCCCCACACACACCAACCCACAAACACACACACATACATACCCACCCATACACACACCCGCACACACACACATACATACCTACACACCCACACACACACCCATACCTACCCCCACCCTCACAGACACACACCCCCCCACACACAAACCTACACCTACCCCCACAAACACACATACACACACAAACACACACTCGCACCCCCACCCACCCAACACCACCACAACAATGACCGACCTACCATCACCACCACCACCACTAACCCATCACTAGCACCACCACCATCACCACCACTGATAAAATTGACGCCGCCACCACCATCGCGTGTCATCACCACCGCCGCCGCCGACCCGCTACCGTCACTGCCCCCACCCACACCCTACTACCACTACCGTTTTTTAAAAATGAAAACCGATAGAAAAATAGACATCTAAACACGTTTTCTAATTTTCTAAAACTGAAAATGAAAAATGAGTAAGTTTAACTAAACGCGTTCTCTAAATTTTTCAATGAAAAATGAAAACGGAAAATGAAAATTGAAAAGGGGAAACAAAAAACGGAAAATGAAAATTGTTTTTCCGTAACTAAACGCAACCTTATTTTTCTAAATTTCTCTATTAACTCTTTTTTCTGCATCAAGTCAAAATAAAACACCTATATATAGCTTATGAGATTAAGGAAAGGACTCTTTCTTTTCTTTTCCCATCGACTTGGTCACTTGACCAAGTGCTGAATGATGTTTAAAAAGTATTTTTGGGAAAACAACTGGAATTTGAAGTAAAAAAATAAATGAGGGCAAATCTGAAAAAAAGACTTTAACTTTCTTTGGTTTTTTCTATTAAGTCATACATAGCTTACCAGATTATGTATGGCAAATCTGGAAAAAAAAAATACTTTAACTTTCTGCATTAAGGTATATAGCTTAGCAGATTAAGTCCATGAAGTCAACTATCCAATGACTAGTGTTTTATATCTACGAATCTTATTGCAGCTTCTGGGACGTGTACTTTGAGTATCTAATGGAATGCTTTTCAAACAAGTAAGTAGCAATTTATGGTTATTTCCCCAACCCAAGATTATCTATTTCTTGCATAAATGCTAAACATGTCTCACAACAGAAAATTGGTATAAACTAGTTCTCCTTCCTTACGGATTTTGAAGATTAGTAGCACCTTTTATGGGTGGGACAAAAATTGCAATTTATGTTCCATAGACACGGGCCGCGCTCCTAGTACAATCCACACACATTGCTATTATTATTATTATTATTATTATTATTATTATTATTATTATTATTCCTAAGAAAAGAATCTGTCAGGTCAACTAACTATGCGGCATTGGTGACTGCACAGCTAATTATTTTGGCGACACACATGGTACATTTTGATTTTTGTTTCATCCTTAGCTTTTACATTGCTGTGTTGTGCTTGCTGATTTAATACTAGTAATTAATTTGTTGAAGGCGGGGCTAGGCCTTCCTGACACGGATTCATGGTATATCATTGAAACGATTGCAGGGAAGAACAACATCGGTTACAGTCATATTGTAAGTAAGATTTAATGTCGATTGCTTTGCTTGTGTGTGTGTGTGTGTATATATATATATGTATATATATATATTATTTGAAGAATCTCCAGACCCAATCAAATCCATGGGTCTGCAATCAATGCATTCCTGTTTTTTCTTTTTCAATGATATAACTATACTGTGGGTTGCAGATAAAGCTTCGGGGGTATATGTCGCATATCCAGCAGCTATGTGTTGGTTATTGGGGTGTTTATTCAGTGAAGTCGGGAAGTGTGGGAATGGGATTGCTGCCCTCCCCACGACCACAAGACGCTTCCTCGGCTATAGGAATAGGAATAGACAACCAACAACCTGCAGAGGCGTCTGGTAGGAGCTGGGTCCAAAGCATGTTTACCAGGGATACTACTACACTACGCACCAACTCCTCATTCACCCGTGTTCGTAAATGGACCTCTGATCAAGGTACCATCACATGCCATCCTCTCTTACTTGCCCCACCCAAGTTCTATGCCAACCTACTTGTGATTCTTTGTTGACAATATGTAAACTCATCATTCCCCCATTTACTTCCACCAAATTATAGGAAATAACCACTTTATTACCATAATATTATTTACCAATGTATGTTCGTTCATGTTCTTT